CCCAACTAACAGTTTCTATAAGACTTCCTTTTGTGCACAACTTCCGGATAAGTCTTGGAATGTTGGCGCATGTTCAACAAGAATAATCTACAAATCTGTTTGTGTTACATAAAGTCTTTCTAAAGAAGACAAATTGCAAGAATTAGTATACATACACACACACTCACTCTAGATAAGTGGCTCTTAACCTTCCTTTAATCCAGTTTCTCATGTTGTGTTGACCCCCAACCATAAAATTATTTTCATTGCTACTTCATAACTGTAATTTTGCTACTGTTATGAATCAGGCGAGCCCTGCGAAAGGGTCATTCGGCCCCCAAAGGGGTCACGACCACAGGTTGAGAACTGCTTCGAGAGAGGGCCCCTTCTAAAATTAAGTACTAAATCTAATCTATTACTGAATGCTGGAAAATGTGCAGATTATACTGAATTTAAAGCAATAATCCTGGAGTATGAGATGATTTTCAAGCTAAATTTAGCTTGAAACTAAATTTAGCCCCCCCCCCAAAAAAAAAGCAATAGAAGGAAAAGAGATACATTATACTTAGAAATTTGCATGTTGAAATCTCATTTCTTTGTAGTTATCTTAATAAAATATATAAATAATGAGTGAGAAATACCTGAAACAAATGAACAGTGGATATTTGGGCCGATTTAAAATTCAGTGGTTAAAGGGCTCACCTGCTAAACAGAAGGTCCAAAGATAGAGGAGAAACTGGAGAAAGACGTGCTCATCTGCCTGTGTAAAGATTTACAGCCTTGGAAGCCAGAGGAGGCTGTTCGCCTGTGTTCTACAGAGTAGCTATGAATTAGAGTTGACCTGTTAATTTATATTGTGCTGTATTATAACTTATTTTGGTAATAATTCTTCTCAAAGTTAAAAAAGTCAACTAACAATGTTTATACAACTAATTGTGAGGTGAGCTTACCATGTTTTATCAAAGAGAAATACAATGTTGTGAAAACATTCTCATATTATTGTCTTTTGAGGTTTTTTTATTTTCTGTTTTACTTGTCTTACATTTATTCATGCATGAATGAAGAGGCTGGCGAGTTGATTAAATCTCCCAAACACAGTAGAACTGACCACCAGTTATATGAGGAGACTTCAAAAAGATCATGGAAAAATTGCATTGGTTTTTAATTCCATTTTCCACAAATTTTTGAAGCCTCCTTGTCTGTGTAACTAAAAATATATGCGCATGTGTTATACATGTCAATGATACAGTTGCCATTTTTGTTGGGTTCCTTTCAGTCAATTCCGACTCATATTGACCCTCTGTATAACAGAATGAAGCCCTATTGGCCCTCATGGCATCCTCGCTTCATTTCTGTATTTGAGGCCACTGTTGCAGCTGCTGTGCCAATTCCTCTCAGTGAGCTTCCTCTTTTATTGCTCATCCTATATTGTATCAAGCACGCTGCCCTTTTCCGAGGATTGAAATCTCCTGATAACACGTCCGTTGTCACATACATAAAGCCAAGTCTTGTCATCCTTGCTTCTAAGGAGCATTCTGCCTGTACTTCTCACAAAACAGATACATTTACTCTTCTACAGTCCATATTTAATAGTTCTCTAGTCTTCATTAATTTCATAATTCAAAGAAATACATTTTTCTTTGGTCTCTCAGTTATTGCCCAATGATCACATTACCTATATATGAGGCAACTGAAAATATCATTGCTTGGATCAGGCACGCACCTTAGTCTTCAAAATGACGTATTTGAGTTTTGACATTTAAAATAGACCTTTCACAGATTTATCCAATGCAATATGTCCTTTAACTTACTGATGTCCACTTCTATGGCGGAGCATTTATATATGTATAAATGCATACATACTATATATGCTCAGCTATGTATATATAATTTGGATATGTGTATACATACATATACATGACCAGCCTTGTGAAAAAGGTCAGAGATGGCTAGTGATTATAATTTGAAATGGTGCCATGAAAGTATCAAAAATGATCAACTCAGAATGGGGAGTACGAGCCCAGAGGGCCTAGGGTGGGCAAGCTAACACTCTGTCACTGGGTCAATTAGGTAAGCCATGTTTTCACCTGAAGATAGTGCAGACACAACACAAAGTGGTTCCTCCTTGATATGCCTTTGGATTGTGCTGCTGTCAGGGTCCAGAGCCCAGATGCTCTCTCTATGGTTCTTTATTTTGTGACTCTGTATTATGACCCCCTGAGGAAGTCAGACCAGCCTGGGGTTACTAGAGACTGTGTCTTGCTTGGCATATTTATCATCCACGAATCAGCTGCTATAAATATACCTCAGCAGGATCATCATCAGGCCAGCTCAGTAGCCTGCAATTTATGAAGGTTATGGGAAGCAGTGTGAAGGGTGGAGTGCTTTATTAAGGGTGGCATTCTTCTCCGACCCAGTCCTTTGTGCTCCGTAAGTGTAAATGACTCTGGGAGTGAGGACTCCTTTCCATTAAAACTGAGGCTTTATAAAGTGTCCCCTTTGGCTGTTATTCTTGTGTCACTCTATCATGAATATCAGAATTTCTTAGAAATATCAACAGCGTTGAAACACCATGTTGGAAATCACTAGATGGAAAAGCAGCTTAACTCAATCTCATCGTGTTTCCTCTCTTTTTTGTGTTCAAACCATGAAAAGCACTCTTTTTTAATGGCCTCCAATTAGTTTTTTCATATCTATCATTAATATATTCATTTTTGTTTTGTTTACAATAACAGATCTGACTCAAATGGCAACAAATGTCAAATTAGCACCTCTGTTGATGTTTGAAATAACTGAAATGTTTTTCTTTTCTTTACTGCTGAATGTTGTGTTTGTTTTTCAAAGAAAATGTGTTTGCCTAAGAAAGTGTTTTGGGTTCTGCCCTAAACATAAACCTTATTTCTACTTCACCTTCCTTCCAATGGATTTATAAAAATCTTGTCATAAATTAAAAATGACACAAAACCCAAACGGCACCAAGTGAGCTGTGATTTGTTCTGGGGAATAAGGTGAAAGCCGCCTGGCTGGGGAATGATGAACTGTTTCCCTTGCAGGGGGTGATTCCAAACTCCTGTCCTAGAAAAGAACGTCTGGAAAGGGCTGACCCTATTCATATGTATTAAGGAGTAAAGGGCCAATTTTAATATTTCAAACAACTCCAGCGAATCAAAGTTCATCCACACCTTCTTGTCTTCACTACAACCCGATTTTAAAATGGTGTGCGTGGCTATCCAATCACCCCAGGGGAGGGGAACAGGAGGAAGGAGAGGGAGAAAAACGCAGAAAGAGGAAGGAAAGGAAATGTTGGAAAATTGCTTTATTCAACTCCACCTGCCACTCAAGCAACTCATCCTTGGGAAGACTCGGACACTTTATATGGATTACCCGTTATGATCTCCCTCCCACCACATCACTGCATTATTTTAGCACTTGTTCTGCAAATCACCAACTGCGTTTACAAGCAGACATAATCAGGAGAAGATGACCTTTTGCAGCGTGTATCTGTGGTTAGTTCATCAAATACGTCGTCAGCCAACTGTCCAGGAGGCTAACCAAATGAAGACACATACAATAAAAGGGAGTGGGGATGTTGTGGAATCGATTCGACGCCAGTGGGCTTAGCGTGGAAAATCACCACCCCCTAACCCCATACCCTGCACTTTTCCTTCCTAAGGCAAGAATCGGATAGCCTCTCCTCTTCATTTCTTACCACCCAGACCATAACCTGTTACTGGGGAAACTTGAAAAAAAAAAAAAAAGAATCAGATACATTAAAAAGAAAGAAAAAGTTCAGCCACCACCACCAAGATCCCATTGCCATGCCAAAAGCAATGCCAGAAGCCCAACCTCGGACGCCACGCAGCGGTGTGACAAAGCCCGTATGGAGTTCGAACAATTGAGATGTTAATTGCAGCTTCGCCTAGAAAAACTACTATTGTTGCAGCGGAGACGCGCAGCCCTTTGCTCGCAGAGACGTGCTCCCGCCGCAGCCGATGGGATCAATCCCTCCGGATCCCGTGGCTGGAACGATAGCTGTCCGCTGGCGACAAGTCGGTGCTGAAAGACACAGTGAAAAACGACCAAGTCCCGCTTCCCACCCCTCCGAGTCGCCTTCCTGTCCTCCTCGCCCACCCCCACCACCCCCCGCCTCGCCTCCCCGCGACTTTCTCTTTGCCCGCGGCCTCCGCCAGCCGCAGCGGTGGGAACGGAGGATGCAAACGTCTCCCAGACCTAGCACACGCCGCTTGCGGGACGTGCTTGGCTTTGAGCAGCCGTGACGTGCAGGCGCACCGCGGCCCTTGGCTGGAGCTCCGCGGAGACCCCGCTCCCGCCCCTGGTCCCCCGCCGCCGGCCCCC